TTTTATTCTGAAAAAAACTGCAATTTATTTATTTATATTAATGGAGTTACATAGTAAAAATTGTGATCTTGATTGAAAAGTATCAACTGTTTATAGAATATTACATACAAACATACATCTTTGAAAAAGATACTTAGGTATGCAGGCAGTTGATATTCAGCTGGCTGTAGACATGCCAATGATAGGCGGGGTTTTTGATGCGATATTGCAGCAAAGCGTTGGTGACTAATGAAGGAAACTATAAATTATTTAAAGCAAACGACAGTCAAGTATACGATAACTACAAATGAAGAGTGTCATCTTGAATCTGGGAAACAAGAGAAAACTAATAAATACAAGATGTATAAAGAAAAAAACAAATTAAAATAGATGAAAAGGTTTGTAGTGACTTTTACTCCGGTCAGTTTTGCTACATCTCTCGTTACAACCAGCCAGTAAGCAGTCGTCTCTCAACTCAGGTAGCATCACTCAGAGCATGACTCACCAGCAAAATTTGCCACAGACTATGAGAACCTAGTCCTTGATGAGCCAACTAAATATGGCACTAAAAGTACACAAAAGTATTTTAAGCAAGAAACTCCCTAGAGCAGGGCCGCTTGTCGGCCGCTATCCGTAGGCTGTGATTCTTTGTGACTGCGACTGAACAGAACACTTAGTCATCGACTTTACTTTCCCATTTCCAAGCCTCGTCTGTAACTTTTATTCTTCTATATCGATGGTACTGTATGACTCGTTCTATTGTTTTGCTATGCAAGGTCAAAGTAATCCATAGAGTAGCACAAAACTGAGTGCTTATTTAGAAATTTCTAAAGGTTTAATAAGCATATAAGTGGCCTCTTCAAAGGCTGTTACAAGAGACGGTACTAATAGAGCAATGGTATGCCTGACGAACCTGGAAGAGATCCCCAGTTGGGTCGCAAGACGGTTTATCATGTGCATTGAGGGATGACTCTTGAGCCCCTCCAAAACCTCCAAATCCCGACTCGTTACCCCAAGCGAAGCCAGAGTCGGAATATCCTGAAGTCGAAAGGTGATGATGCTGATGTTTAGCTAAAGAGGACATCGGCTTGTGGTGATCCTCGAAGCCAGGAGGGAAACGGAGTTCCCCTACATCATTATTAGTAGCTGTAGTCGTGGTGACCGCAGATAGTTCACATGCCTCGGAAGTGACCTGAGAGTTCAATCTGAGCAGAAATTCAGCGGCTTCCTCCGATACTTCAGCAAACTGATGCGGCCGCTGCGAATGTGCGAGAGGGAAACTAGAATGAGAAGAAAGCGAAGCAGATTGTGGTGAAGGGATTCCCCGATCCGGCAAAGAGGAAGAAGAAGAAGAGCAGTGTGGCGAGGGACCGAGACCTGATTGGCATAGGGAGCCAGATGTAATAGCTGATACCACTGACGGCATCGTCGTCGATAGGGAAGACGGAGCACTTTCGAGACCACCGGCAAGACAAAGTTTGTCTAGAGCTTGTATCAGCTCAAGGCCAGTTGACTGACTGTTTAGGTTTCCCGTGTAACTGTGCAGGTTGAGATCCGTTTCAATAGTGGAAGGACCGAAAATCCCACCAATGCCAGACTGTACCTGGCAAGTATGTGAAAGGAAGAGGATGGCGGAATACGTAAGAATAAATAACCAAATACGGAAAAAGGGAAATAACATAAATAATTCAATAATATGTAAATATAAGATGGCCGAAAGACGGTCCTTTAGACGCTGGACCAAGCCTTAAAAAAGCAAGGTTATGTGAAATTCATTGTGGGAAAATTCTACTACCAGTCCTCCATCACCTTAAACGAAATTGGGTGAATACATCTCAGAAAAATAACTATCCACTCGAACCAATAGTGAGCAAACATCCTCATTAACGTACACATAAAGGGAAAGTGTAAGCATAATTAATCTTGTCTATAATCTCATTCCTTATTCCAGAAGGTCCTCGCATGCCTACCTGATTATTTAAAACCAAACTCTGTTGTTGAGTGTGCTGTCGAGAGAGTCCTGATTGTTGTAACAGTCCATCTAGACCAGCTCCACTCGGCGACAGCCAATCGCTATGCCGACGCATAAACCCCGAATGACTCTGAGTGCCCATTGAGCCCGAGCTAGTAATAGTTCCGTGGGGTGAAGATCCTTGAAGAGCGCCAGATGACTCGGAGCCTGAGGTGCTTGAAACCATGGGCGAGAGAAGTAGCTGATGATGCTGGGGATGATGATGAGCTTGCGGTTGATGCTGGTGGTTGTGGTGATGATTGTGTGAAGGAAGCTGATTATCGACAGACGAATCCGCAGTCGCAGCGGCAGATACTGAAGATAGATGGTGGTGAGGTTGCAAGAGGAACCGGCCTGAGAGCCCAGGGCCAGAAGCTGGTCCACTATTCGGGAAGAGACCCCATATACCGCTAGAAGTGTTGTTGGCGTTAGCACCTCCATTACTAGTCCCGTTGGTACCACCAACAGTAGCACCTACAGATCCAGCAGCATTCGCTATCGAAGCGATGGGTCTTGAAAAGCAATTTAGAAGGCAGGAAGCTCGACCTGATGATAGAGCTCCAGAGGGATTATCACCAGAACTTAGATGTAAAGTAGAGGATCCATTCGAAGCAGAGGGCGATGAAGGCGAAGCGAGAAAGAGGTCACTTGATGTGACAAGGTCGAAAGCTGATTGTTGCAGGAAGAAGCATAAAAAAGAAGCATAAAATAAATCTTTTTAATATTGTTACCATCATCCTTCATAACGAAGTCCCCAAATGACGTTAGTGCAGATCGATATGATGGCTATGGAGACAGCTTGCTTAGCGAGTAAATGCTCACAGGTTGTACATACATAGGCAGATTGATTGTGGGCTTTAATGTACTTGTGTGTGAGTAGATCTTGAGCAGGAGCTGTAGTCAACCTGAGTTAATTAAGCTAATACAAGAGGATTAGTTAATTTTCCAATAGTAAGTAAGCCCGGTTCTCTTAATGAAGTGCGACCATACCCGAGGCCACAACATCTTGGTCTTCACATCTTCAATTTAACTCTGGTTCTCTTAAGCCTAAAAATTTGATAAAAGTTAACTAGTGGAGACACGAATGTGTGGCTTTAGCCCAATATAGCTCCAATTCTATAAAATGGATCTGGTGTGCAATTTGACAACGTCTTCTGAGACTTGAGCTAAGAGTACCGAAAATATTCAACATAGCAAATTATACTGCTACCAAACACCAATTTGTAGCTACTCGTCCGCACTATATCCTGTCGGGGCCAAACTCAATATCACTTAAGTCAGTTAAAAAACTGTGACTGGCTGTTTGCATCAGCATGATTGCGCGACATATATAGTTGACTCCGATCGACTATTATGATAGGAACCACAATTTATCAACGGTACCATCCGGTTTTTGCCTTCTTTCAAGACGCCAAAGTATAGGCCAGTCAAGAACCTTCAGCGCCTGTTCTGAGGTATTACATTCAATCAACGCGGGACATGGAAAACGACCACATTAACCTTGCTGCCAGTGGAATCTGAGAAGTTACATTCAAGCTATAATCTGGAGGATAAATCTATATTCTGATACTGGCGTACATTTCATTTCGCTTGAGAAGGCAGGTCGAAGGGATTCGTTTATTGGCCTCACCGGAAATCGTAGGAGGGTCACCTTGGACTTTTGTCTGTTGAATTGTGCGAAGACCTCGGCTCACCGTCTTACGACCCCGATGACTCCGTGCTGAGTTTTCGTCCGTCCCGTGACGAAGATAGTCAGAGCCAGAAACTATTATTCACGAAAAATCACCAAAAAACAACCGACAAATGGTGGCTAACTGAGAACCTATTTACTTCTTGTACCTCACTTTGCAATCTTAATGAGGCATTCCATGGTTTGGTTAGCTGACGTATGCTTGTCCTACATGCATGTAAGTCACTCCTAGTTCCGAAACTATTGGTCAGATATACGGATGATTACTTTGCTAACTGGCAGCATGGGAGGGTTTGGATGACTTCCTTGGTTTAATGAATAAAGTATATAAAACTAAATTCACTATCGAGTTATAAAGAGAGAATAAGTTATTCTTTTTAGATGTCATAGTTAGTTTTTTGGTTATTTTTCGTGAATAATGGTTTCCGGTTCTGACGATGTACGTCACATTAGACTTAAGTTCAGCACAGAGTCATCGGAGTCGTAGGAAGTTGAGCAGAGGTCTTCTTCACACAATTCAACAGACCAAGGAAACCCTCCTTTGGCATCCGATGAGTCCAATCTACGATTCCCTTCGACCCGCCTTTTTAAACAAAAGGAAAGGTACGCCATTATCAATCTATTAAGGGATTCTGGGAATCCCAGCCTCTCTTTAAATCTATAGTCAGAGTAGAGTCCTGGGGGCCGGTAAAGAAGATAGGATAGACAAAATACCTCCAGAAAAGGCAGCTCCACTGTAGCCGCTTGGACTGCTTCGCTGGGCTGAGGTGACAGAGAGGTTGAATTGAGATGGGCCCATAGGACTTGATCCATTAGATGCGCAAGACCCATTCATCATATGGCTGGACCCGTTGGCTCCACCTGCTCCAAGCACCATGCGGGCTCCACTGTTGGGCGTTGCTAAACCTCCAGAGACAACAGTGTACGGACGATGAAAGGGGCTGTTGTGGCAAGAATTGCTATTCGCGGCTGATCCAGAATCGAAAAGTTCCATCAAAGTGCCTCCGCCTGCCGACCCACTTCCATTGGATCCGATGGAAGTGGCACCTCCCGATGAGGCGCTTGTCTGCCCCAGGACGTGGCTTGGTAGCTGGTGCGCATTGAAATGGCCCATATGACCAGAAGTAGGAGAAGACGAAGCTGGGAGAACACAATTATTGTTTGCACCACCGCCAACTGTGGCCACAACGGCTGCAGCGGCGGCCTGGGCTGCAGCTAGTTCCTTGGCGCGCCGTGTCTTGCTTTTCGACTCAGAAAGAATCCGGTCGAGTACTTCGCGAGCCTCCAGTGAATCCATTTGTGCCACATCAGGCCACATCCAACCGTTGGTAAAGCGACCCGATCCGCCCGGAGTCACAGGGGCAGAGACGCCTGAGCCGGACGTCATGCCCCCGGAGACGGTGCTGTTAGTCGCCATATTAGACATGCTATGCCCGAGGCTAGAGTTACTATTCGATTGACCAATTGCAACTGCTCCAGGCCCCGAATTAGGGGTATTCTCGTCAGGCCCCGTCCGGTGAGCATTACCGTTCGAAAGGCCTGAGGTAACGGCGGCTGCAACAG